ACAGAAACGAAACTTCTAGAACAAGTTAATTTTCATTTCTTAACTGTCCCTTTTACATGGAAATGGGGGGGGGTGTGTGTGTGTATCTAATAATAAGCTTGCTGACTTACCTCCTTAGTTTTAATAATTTGCAGTTTTTCTCAAATTTTTATGGCAGCAATCACTATACCTTATTGATAAGGTTTCATTTACTTATTCCTAATCCTACGGTTTTTTTTTTTTATGTCTCAATGGATATAGGAATCTTTATTATTTCTGTTTTTAAAGAGAAAACTTCCAACACTACCTTTAATTACAGTATTTACTTTAGGTTTTAGTAAGTATTCTTGGCTTAAGGAAATTTCATCCTGTATTTAATTTTGTAAGTTTTCCCAACTAGTAATGAAATTTTATCAAGTGCTTTTTTCACATCAAGATAACTGCATATTATGAAATGGTAAAATAAGTTAACAGATAAATTAATATTAAGACACCCTATGAACTTGGACATGTACTTTTTTATGCTTTGCTATGACTCCATTTGCTAATATTTTATATATGCCTCTGTTTGGTTTTAGTGTAAAGATTTACTCATTTCATAAATGATTTACAGACCCTACTCTGCTTTTTTGTTCTCAGAATCGCTGGTAGATTCTACCTGTAAAATACTGAGTCTGATTTCTTTTGGCCTAGTAGGATGAAAAGACAGTAATTTATGCAAATTATGAAAATGCCTTAAATGGAGAAAGCACATGACTTCTAGGTACTTCCTCTCTCTTCTAGGCTGAATTTTAGATGTGATGGCCACCACTCCATCACGATCTTGAAAAACAAAAGAATAGCTGCAACGGACACTAGCAGAAGTCATGCCCTCTACTACTTAGGGATGACCCTAAAGCCCTATAACAGACTAGGAATACTTCCTTTCAAATTTTGCTCACATGAGAGAGAAGGAAACTACTAACACTTGGCATTAATACTAATACTAATACTCAGTACTTCGCCATTTGATTCATCTGACCTTGGGTGATGGTGCCTGGCTCCTTCCAGTATTTGTCATTTCCTATGGCAGCTCAGTATTCAACGTATTTTATCTGTAAAGACTACAGGACTTGGAAGGAGGGTGCAGTCCTCCAAAACACATCCACACAGACTTCTGCAGGGTGTCAGTGGGGCTAGGTGTCACTGAATGAATCTACTTTATATATGACCTTCTCATCCTTAGGTTCTTAAATTTTTACGATCTGAAAGAGGTAAGTATCCTTGTCATTTCTCCCTAGGTTGGGAAATCTTACCTAGTTCGTGCTTTCACAGTGTTTCATGGTCCTCAACCTGTAAAGTGTTTTCTGTTCCTAAGCCCTTGCAATCAAGGCCTCATATCTGTTAAGGAGACCAGCAAACATCTTGCCCTTGAAGTGAGCTGCAAGAGGACCAGCTTACTGTTTGGGTTTTCAGTTCTCCTAACTCTCTGGGGAGCCCAGCTTGCTGAAAAGGTTATCAAAATTATCAAATCTGAGCTTTGTCCCATGTTACTGAAGTTCATTAAACATCAGGAGGCCATGTTTCCAAATACATTCTCAACTGTCTCTAATATTTACCACGTGTGATAATGTTTATTTTGGTGCTGAGGATCAAGCCCACAGCTTCATACACGCTAGGCAAGTGCACTACCAGTGTTTCTGAGAATTCAAATATGATTACAGACAAAAAGCAAACAAGAAAATATTTATACCCAGCTGTAGATGCTTGTCCTCAAAAGCTACACAAACATCATAAGCCAAGGCAAATTGAAAAAAGGGACTTAAAACAAAATTAATTACATAATGTCTCAACTCTATATTAACTGAAATAAAGGAATTCCAGATCGTCAACTTTGCATCTGAAGTATAAAAACTTACACTGAAAAAGACAGTCCCTTTGTTATTCAGAATAATCAAATACTGGGCAAACCACAGATTTCCAACAATATGAAATAAAAAAATAGATACATTACAGGCTATCCAAGTGATAGGTAGTTACTACAAATATATATTTAGATTGAGAAATGTCTCACGACATATTCCAGGCTGGCCTTGAGTTCACTACATAGCCCCGGTTGGCCTTGAACTCAGGGATTCTCCAGCCTTGGCCTCTCAAGTACTAAGATTACAAATATGTGCCACCACACCTGGACCTATTACAAATATGTTTATAAAACTTTCATTAACATGGTATTTCTCATAAGATAGGTAAGAGTAATAAAGGAATGTGTGATCATCTATATTGTACACAAAATATTTGAATAAACTATAGATACATACATGTCTCTATACACAGATATTCATGAAAATAGTATAGACATGGGCTACAGAGTGATGTGTCACAGTATTTCAGATTGCTTATCATTCATATTTGGCAAGTTTCTCTTTAATGAGTAAATAGTGTTTCTTCATTACAAAAAACTAAAGGCTATTTTCCAACACAGCTAAATTGTATATAAATTAATCTATGATGAAATCATAGAAGAATAATAGATTTGGAGCCAAACAGGCTAGGGGCACAGAGTATTTCACCTGCTTACTATGAGTATGCCTTAAGTATTGAATATATAACTTCCCTTACTTTTAAAATATAGCTAATACCAAGCTCACTGCGTGGTTACATAAACTAAAGGCAGGAAGCACACCCAGGTGAAGGAATGCAGGGCAGTGCTCCGGGCTGTGAAGTCACACACACTCTGCGGCCAGGAGAGCAGCTATGAGTTCACAGCACCAGCGTGGAGTTCAGGGTGACACCAGTTAGCCACAGCAGTAGCCACACTGGCCTCTACACTTCACTGGGGAAAGTCTCAGACCTACCTGAAACTTATACATAAAAATTCAAATATTTCTTCAATTTAATTCAGCCAACACCTCTCAATCTCTGAAAATATACCAAACCCAAGGTAGATGTAGGAAATACAAGTATAGAGGAAAATAGTACCTAAGAAGTTCAAAACACTGAAAGAAGCGGTTCAAGGTGTAGATTCTGTGAATCTGCTATCACCACTTCTCTGTGTTCTTTTTCAACAATGAAAACAACAACATCCTTTAATTGCATACTTAACCATCTTTGAAACAAAACTGAAGGCTGAGGACATACAGCACTGGCTTAGCATGCATAGGCCCTGAGTTCAATCCTCAACACTGAAAGAAAAAAAATAGTGGATGGGGCTCACCACACTGATTGCCCTGAATGCCAGCAATATACAACAAAAAACAAGACAGAAACATGTAATATCTGCACTTGGCACAGGTTAGTTACCTACTGTTTTTAACCAGATTTCAACAAACTGAGGCTGAGACAGGAGGATTACTGTAAGTTCAAAGCCAGAGTGGGGTACCCAGTGAGTTCAAGACCAGCCTGAACTACACAGTAACACCCTGTCTTCAAAACAAAAGGTTGTCCCAAAAATATATATAACTATAATTAGTAGAAAAATTTGATTGGCTGTTATGAATCTAAGAGCTGAACAATTAAAAGCAAGAGGCGGGGCCAGGGATATAGCTCAGCGGCACAGTGCCTGCCGGGCAAGTGAGAGATCCTGAGTTCAATTCCTGGTACGGAAGGGAAGAAGGAGGGAAGGGAAAGAAAGATGTATTTTAATCAATTCATTAAAAATCTAACGCAATACAAGCATTCATCACAGTTACATAAATATGGTATCACTCAAATAGCATCCAATTCCTTTGTAATTACACAGAAATCTAAGTTCAAGCATTCCACACTTTACCTAGACAATGCATACATAAAATACACATTTAAAAATATAAAATGCTTTTGAAATACTACCATCCCCCAGGTTCTTGTATCGTTACAACATGCCCTACTTTTGAAAATGAAAGGTAAAGCTCAAATGTCACTGGATAGTAAAGGGGAACAAGGTATACTTAGATGTAAGCAAAACTAGGTAAGCACTGTCCTACTACTCTCCACCTGCCATCCAAGGTCTGTGGTGTTAAGAAGACACTCGCGCACTGACAGATGAGCACCAGCAGTGCTCCGTGCAGCTTTACAGAACCACGGCAGAACATGTTCCCTCTTGGCAATCCTAGTTAACAGGCAAACACCATTCTGAATTTTATTTGTGGTTTCTTAGAAAACAGCCTTTTCTTAAGTAAGTTCTCATTAAACAATACTCATTTTGCAATTGTATTTAATTTATAATGAAATAAAAGTCCTTGAGCTAAGCATCCCTTTCCTTTCTAAACCTTCACACCTGTAGACAGGTCTTGCAGGTCCATAGCACAATTTACTTGGTAACCTGCTAACACTCTTGTTTATAAAGTACATAATTAAGCCCGAGAGATAGCTCAGCAGCACAGCAAGCACAAGGTCCTGAGTTTGATTCCTGGTACCCCCTCCAAAATAAATAAATTAAATACATAATTAGAAAATAAATACATAATAAAACAGAGTTACATGATCGGTACAAGGTAGATGTGGACATATATACTCTTACAAAAGTTCTTCTGTGTTAAAACAGTCTATTACAGACATTAAAAAAAACTATTCCTGTAAGGTTATTTTTTATCCTATTGCTTTCCACTTATTTATAATCATCGTAACAGTTAACAGGCATCCATCCTTCCAAGGTGGTTAGAACAGGATGTATCTGTCTCTTCCTATTAGTCTTACTACAGATATTTTGGTGAGCGTTCCCTAGATTTTGTGACCAGGAGTGAACAAAAGAAATAAGTAGCTAAAAAATTTTGTAAAATCACCAAGTCCTTTTAACATGGCACCAAGGAGAGCAAGGGAAAGCACACAGCAATTAAAAGCACATCTTTATCCTAACCCCAAAATTCCCACCTTTCTTTTCCTTGGTGAAAGAGCAAACAAGAAGTTGCTTTAGAGCCCAAAAACATTTCCACTTCTTTCCAAGGAATATGTGTCATTTTTCGGATCTTAGTAGTTAATGTCCAGGTAAGTAAACACGCACGCATGCATGCATACAAGGAAAGGAAAAGTCCTCACTGAGTGGGCACAAATGATTCACTTACCTTGTCTCAGGGTTGTAGCCTAATATGTAGAAAAATGAGTCCACTCGGGCTTTAAATTCTCTAGCAGCAAATATGTCAGAAAAATGGGAGATGTTACACTTCCCTCTGGGGAAAAAAAAGGCAAAAATACATCAGTAATACTCTCAATTGTTTTGCAAACCAAAATATTAATGGAGGAATATGGGAGGAAACACATAACTAAATCTGTGGTGCATGTAGAATGCAGTTACGAATTTCAAACTTGACTGCCAATTCATTTTTTTTGTTTTATGCCTACTTCAATATATAACATTGTAACTGAAAGTGCTTTTATTTCACCATTTTGGTAATAAACTGAAATCAATTAAGCCATAGAGATAAACTGGAGGTAGGACTATGATAAAAGGATGTTAAGCAAACTGAAAATAAAAGGGGAAGAATAAAAGCCACAGAGAAAATACTTGATGAAAAATTCAGCCTAAATTAGTCTTTCACTGGCCCTTTTCTGGTTAATTATGATAGGCAGAAAATATAATCGGTAAAGCTAAAGTGAATAGCATCACACATTTCTTCAGAATACAGCTTCTGACAGATAAATATTTTTGTTTAACACACAAGAAATACACTCCTTGGAAATTAAAACCTAGAGAAATTAAAACTAGTTACATGAAGATGGGCTCTAATATACAAACAGTTTCAAGATTTTCAGGTAACGCTGACTATAAGTCAGAAATCACTTTCCTATAGAAATACTGCAATGAACAGCAGCAAAGTTCCTAGGTTCAACTACCAATAAAACCCTCCCTTGTAGGTAAATACTCTACAATGCTACACAACCATGTAAGAGGTTTTTTGTGCACCAGTAAATGCTAGAAATGTTACAACAGGGAATAAGGTCCAACTTCCCACCCAGTACACCCAAATGCTGCAGGGTTCCTGAGGAGAAGGCAGGAGCAGCAGAGGTGCTCCATCTCCCTCCACGATATGCAGGGATCGCTGGTGTCAAGTAGAAGCCCAGGGTTACAATGAGGTGAGAGGGAGCTGGCACACCAAGGGCACCCGGTCTCACTCTCCCTGTGAGCTGGAGGAGGCAGTCCCCACTTGAGAAGGACCCCAGGTCATGGCAGCAGTGTTTGACAGGGAAAATATTTCTACCAAGACATTTTAAAACTACAGCCTTTCTTTCCCTCAAGGACTTTATCATCAAAGCCTCAGTAACGGCCAGTCGCAAAGATGCACTCATATCATCTCCAACTTTAAAATCAAGTATCAGTAATACTGACTTATTAAACCCCTCTAGAAACAGAAGAGGAGAAAATAATTTCAGGATACCAAGTGTTTTAAAGTTGGTTGATTCAACTTAGAGGAGCAGAATTTTCAATTTTATTTAATCTTAATTAAAGTAAATTTAAATACATGCTAATAACTAATGCATACAATATTTCCATCACCAGAGAGAAGTTCTACTGGAAACACTACAGCATATCTAGTAGGTAATGAAATTTACTTCAAAGAAAACATAGATGCGGCCCTCAATCTCCCTGGCCCACAACAACCCACCCTCCAGGATCGAAGTGGAACTAAAGTCGGCTTCTGGAAAAGGCAAAGGTTATTTTTATAGGTGAACAATGAGCTTACTCTAAAACTTATTACACATCCATTCTAGGGATTTAGTCCAGAAACCACAGGAAATAAGCTCCCTCATCAGTAAAATGGGGAGAGTACTACCTACCTCATAAAGATGCTAAGGCACAATTATGAAACTCTGTATAGTACTCCATGCTGTGTAAAATAAATCATTACTTCTATTAGTGTCCACTGTCAAGGAAATTGTTTCTTTTATATCTCACTCTGAAGGGTAATTAACTATTTAATTAATTAAAGGTACAGAAGCCCTAGCACTCCACAACCCTAAACACAGGTACTGGAAGTCAGACGTGGCTAGGGCAGGGCTCAGGAGGGTCAGCAGCACTGACGTGCTGAACTGAACACGACTCCTCTGCACCAGATAGCAGTCAGCACCACCTCTGGCCTCACACACATCGTGACAACCCAAAGTGTCTCTACACATTGCCAAACATCTCCGGGGAGAGTAAAATAACTGGTTTAGGAAACACAGAAACAGGAGGAACTGAAGTGTATCAGCAGATATATTGCTATGACACCGGAACAAGATGTCTACCTTTAGGTCCTTTATCTGCTTAATGTTTCTGGTTATGAAGGTTACTGATTCTTGTATGTTAATTTTCTAACCTGCTACTCGCTTTATTTGTGCTCCACTGTTCGTCTGTTATAGAGGTAGGGTCTGGCTATTTGCCTAGGCTACTTTTGCACTCCTGGGCTCCAGGGATCCTTCGCCTCAACCTCCTGAGTAATGGACTGTTGCAGGGGACTACAGACACAGATCACTACACCTGGCCTACAGAGCTTCCTCATTCATTCTTAGAGGCTTTGCTAGGTATGCTATCATCTGAAAAAAAAAAAAAAAAAAAGTTTTTGCTACTTTTTTATTCTTTCTTATGCCTCTAATTGCACTATACCTCTGGTACAAGTACAATGCAGTAAAAATAATGGATGCTGTTGCCAGGTTCCTGATCTCAGTGGAAAACTCTTGCTTTTTTCCCCCTCATTAAACATACTCGTTTTAAACATAACCATAGTCTTGGAGTCAATCATATGGTTTCTTCCCTAAGATTTATTAATATGGAATATGATACTAATGGCACCTACATCATTAAATCAACCTTGTAAGGCACGCATGTGGTACACACCTGTAATCCCAGCACTCATAAAGCTGGGGCAGGAGCATTGCCGTGAGTTGAAGGTCAGCCTGAACTACATGGTGAGATCCTGTTTTAAGCTGTCTAGGCTGGGCTTGAAGTGTAATCCCACCTCCCAGAGTGGTGGGATTACAGATGTGTGCCACCACACCCAGTTTATGATCAATTTTTAAGAATAAGCCAAAATATATGAAAAGGATGTGCAATCTCTATCATTTAATGAACAAAGTGCCATATACATCTGTAAGATTAAATGCTAGGAAAAAATAATAAAACTACAAAATCTGTATGAAGAAAATTTTCAAGCACTTGTAGATGGATGCACAAGTCAAGATGAATAAGTGAGAAAACAATCTCGTTCTTAAGTAGGAAATCTTAACATGGCTTTTCTCCATAGCTTAATTAACAAATTCAGTGCAATCCTAACAAATTGTAACATGCTATTTCATGGAATAAAACAAGTTAAAACTAAAGTTCATATGGGAAAAACAACCGTCAAAGGGAAAATCTAGCCCAGTGATGGCAAACCTTTTAAAGCTTTCAATGATACAAAGAGCCCAGGCCAGCGTGTATGTCTTAGGGCCACTACCACTGATCTAGCCCTATCCAACACTGAAATGTGCTATGAAGCTCCACATTAAGAACATGGCATTAGCATATAAATAAACAACATAACAACAAAACAGAAAAGCACACCCAAACTATATGTGAAAAACAATATATGACAAAATTGGTATCTCCATTTACTATGCTATACACAAACTTATTTTAGTAACTGGTACTAGATAACTAGGTAGAATTCTGCTTTGATATAAGGAAAAAGGTTTCTAACTCTCAAAATCAGAAGAATTTATAAGACTGATTTAATTTGACCCTATAAAAACAAGTTTTACATTTAAAAAACACTATGGAGAAAATCAAAAGAAAACTGACCAAGTGGGAGAAAGTATTTGCCACCTATACAACATACACAAAGCTCCCAAAAGCAAAAGAAAATCAAAAAGAAAAAATTAAGACAGTTCACAAAAAGAGACCAAAATGCTTATCATCAGTGCAGCAACATGGAAATACCCAGCTAAGCCAAGCTGAAAGACATCTGGTAAAATAACTCATCAATGATCTTTAGTTAGAAAGTGTCAAGGGCAACCCATTCAGGACCCCTCTTGTCTCAGGAGCTATTTCTATTCCCCATTCCCCCATTCCCATTCCCCATTATTCCCTTTTTCCAATAAATTTTCCTACTCAAAAAAAAAAAAAAAAAAAAAGTGCCAAGGTCATGAAAAAGACTGCAATACCATTACAAACGGCTGTACACCTAAGAAAAACAGTAACATGGGATCCCAAATGACACTAATACTCAGAGGGAATCCTTAGTTCAATCCTATTATATTCATGTTAATTTCCTTGTCCTGATAATAATTCTATAATTAAAGAAGATGTTCACATTGTAGGAGGTTAAGGCTCGTTTAGATGAAAAAAAAAAAAAAAAAAAAATCAGCATAACTTTTCTTTGTATCTAAAAGTAGCTCCAATTGTTTCTTTGGCGAGGGGTGTTGGGGATTGAACCAAGGGCCTTCTGCATGCAAGACAAGAACTCTACCACTGAGCTACATTCCCAGCCCCAAGTATTTTTTTTTTAATGACCATCAATTGCTCAAAGCAGAACATCTAGTTGGGTGTTCCCAGCACCGAATACAAAGCCTTTCATCTATTAAGGACAATGAAGTGTTGAATGATGAATGAAAAAAAAAAGAATTGACAGGCTTTGGTGTTTAATGAAGTACTAAGCATATATACACAAAAGAATGAAAGTGCTGTTGATCAGGGCTGACTCTGTACCTCAATGGTATAGAACACTTGCCTAGCATAAGTGAAGCTCTGAGTTCAATCCTCTGCATTGGTGGTAAAAAAAAAAAAGTACATTAAAGTTATTTCACATACAAAAACTGATCCAGGCACAATGATACAAGCATATACATCCCACTACTCTGGGAAGTTGAAGCAGGAAGATTGCAAATTCAATCCCAGACTGGCCAACTCAGCAAGACCCTGTCTCAAAATAAACAATAAAAAGGCCCCAGATTCAATCCCCAGTGTTGGAGGGGAGGGGGCTTGCAGAAAATAAACTTTAAACTGTAAAACTAAGAGCTCTGAAACTCCGTGGCCTTCCTTAAAAAATTTGCAGGAGCCAGAGTATTTTTTTTTTTTGGTAAGGGCGAGAATGGTTAGGAAATTACCTGCAGATATAATTTATCTATTTTAAGAGATGCATCCACACATGCACACATGTAAGTATAAATTTGTAGATGTCCATGACAAAGTAACAAGATAAGTTAATTCAGAATGAAAAAAATGTATTTAGAAGCCCAAAACTGTTTAGAGTTTCTTGGCCCTGAACATTCAGAAAAGTCACCCTGTAACAGTGATAGAGCTTTTTGAGCTTTCAATGACAGCCTGCTGCAGCACACATGCCACGGGTTCACCACCACTGCCCTACAATATGAATCCCTAGGTAAAATGACAGCTTCTAGCCTGACCTACTTGAAGTGGGAGGCAGATAACCAGAAAGCTGGAGAGTAGCCTATAAGTAAGCCAACCAGCCTGTTCTAATTTCTTGTGCTGCCCTGCGCCCTTAATACTTAAGAACACCTGGTTACAAGCCCACAATAAACATGCAAATGTCCCTAGGTCATGTACTTTGAGTGTCCTCACAGAGCAACTACTCCAGATCTATAGTTCGCCAACACAACATTATCCTTTCAGGGAAATAAGTGATAGAGAAAACAGATTACAACTTACACAGCATCTCTAGAAGGCTCCCAAGCTTACCCTTGTCTCATGCCTCAAGTAAACTGAGGACCCAACTATCCTATGCAACAGGTCACTGAGTATAAAAATCAGCGAGTGCTGAGTAATCCTAAGTAACTGTACTATCAAGAATGCAGCATACAATTATTAAGTCTACTTTTTCTTTTCTTCCTTTTACACCTTTAAGGACCCAGCTGAGACTCAATGAGCAGAGCACTAGGAAAAAGAATGGAGGAGCGATCCTGCTACCAAGAGCGAGCTGATCTGTGAGGGCTCCCACACTCCTGACCTTTGGGCAGTACACCGGAATGCATGTGTGTGAGTTAAAGGTTCCGTCGTTAGGGTATGAGGCACTGAGCACGACTGTCGAAAGGATAATTCCAAGGCTAAGAACCTGACCCTAGTTGCAAAGCTCTGTGGCCAAGCCAAGATTCCACCTGAGTATTCTAATTGCAATCTGGTACTTTTTTTTACATTACTTTATATCACAATGTTGGTCAAAAATACTTACCTGGGAAAAGGAACAACTCAAAAGACACTCTACTGAAGATGCTAACTTTCCTGGTCACTGATAAGTACAACACAGGGAGAAAATCAGGAGTAGGAACATGCTTGAAAGATAGGGGTACAAGACTGTCATGGCCAAAGACTCAAAAACAGTAGCAAAGCAAATGTGAAGTTTTACCGTCACTTCTGGAAATAAACTTAATTTTGGTAGGGAAAAACTTCAGTCTCACAATTTACCACCCCCCCCATAAAAAAAAAGGCTGCAGAGGAATGATGTTTTCCTTTTGCTTGACAGTAGCTAAAGGACAAAGCTCTAGCTTCTTTATGACCCAATTCTAGCACCAGCTTGAAAGAAAAATTTACACATTGGCTTCCTCCTGAGAGAATGGCATGGCCAGAGTCCAGGGCGCTCCTGTGAGCCTGGAAATCCATCTAACTGGGCCTTTTGATGTTCGAAAAGAATGGTGCTAGGCACTAATACTACCAACCTTTTTCCTTTTCTGCTGGTCTTTTTAATCACACTCACTGGATCCCTCCCATGTGCCTTCAGACTAAGCCTGAGGTCCTGAATTCAATATTCAGTACCAAAACAAAAGAAAAAGAAAGCTCAAAACAAAAGTTAAACCTTAATCCTCAAACCCCCACCATCACCAGTATACCCAAACACGCATAAGTGACAATAATATAATTCTGTGGAAGTGAGACACACAAATGGAGACTCCAGAGGTGCTGCCGCTCCACTGTGTGCTACGGGAAGTGATCTTAGTGGTGACCCAAGCTGCTTTTGCAGTGACCACACCATGCTACGAATGCTGTGGGATTCCTAAGCCGTGGCAGGATCACAAGTGTAAGCAACAGACACTGGCAAATGTCAGGATTTGACAGGCCAGAACATTCCGTAACAAAGTGACCACCTATCTGCTGTCTGAAAAGATCCAACTGTTGAGTCCCAAAAGGTGTGCTTTATTTGAAATTAATAAAAATCAAATTTCAGACGAAAGTTTTACAATAGAGCTATCAATTTTTATGAGAACTTTAAAAGAAGGTAACACAGCAGAAAAAAAAACTAAGCAAGGATCCTAGTCACACACCAAGTTAACAACCTAAAGAACTGCCAGGGCTGAGGAGATAGCTCAGGGGCACAGCACCTGCCTGACAGGTACAAGGTTCTGAGTTCAATTCCCCCCGCCGTACCAGAACTGAACCGAACAGAACAGAACACAAAACAGAACTGCCACTGTAGCACTCCAGCAGTGGTAGGCAGACCTCACAGTGATGCACGTCTGGAGGCATCTCATGTAAGCCTATCCAAGTAAGCTCACCTGGGTCTGCTCAAACTACCTGCAAAACATGTTTCTGCTAAAAATGCTAAATCGTAGCTGGGAGTGGTGGCATACACACATAACCACAGGATTCTGGGAGGTTGGGGAAGGAGAATCATTTGTTCAAGCTCAACCCAGGCAATTTAGTGGGACGCTGTCTCCAAATTAAAAAAGAAAATAAAAAGGGCTGGGGATGTAGGCCACTGAGAAGGCCTTGGGTTCCCGTCACAGTATAGGAGACTGAGTGAATGAATGGATGAATGAATGAATGAAGGAGCTAAACAGAGATGAGTTACAAATCCAAATAACACTGCTAAACAAGCAAATATATTCATTTTAACCAGTTATGTCAAAACATGCTGAATCAGTTATACATACTGTTTAACTGGAACTATAAATTCCATAAAATTATTTTCCTCAACAAATGAGACAAGATGGAAAGAGGAAGTAAAACTAGGCAAAGCAGAGTAAGGGCGCTCCACTGTCCCACCTATCTTGTGAGCCCGGCAACCGTGCACTGACTTGTGTTCAGCAAGCAGGCTTGATTAGAAAGTCACCTCCAAAGACAGAGGAAAGCTAATCAAACACACAGGACCCCTTCAGCATAACAGCCCTCTTTCCACACACCACCAGTAGGCCAAGTCTGTTCAAACAGTCTGGGAGAAGAGGATTTAAATTCTAAGTAGCTAAGAAAGAAAGAAAAAAAAAATCTGTGAGTAACCCACTTTCTGCCCTCTTAGAAGCTTTGTCAATAAATGCCTTCTACTTTTTTTTGTTGTTGTTGTTCTTTTTGAGACAGGGTCTCACTATGCAGTTCAGGCTGGCCTTGAGCTCACTTTGTAGCCCAGGCTGGTCTCAAACTTGCAACGATCCTCCTGCCTCAGCCTCCCGAGTGCTGGGATTACAGGCATGCACCAGTAGGCCCGGCAATTCTTCCTACTCTTAAAAAAAAAAAATCAAAGCAGATCATGTCATGACATATGAAAATGAGAAAATCCTGTATGAGTGTCCATTTACCAAGTTCCAGTGCACAATCGCCTCCCTTGTGTGTGTTGCCCAGATCTCCATGCTGTGAGGACGAGCTGGCCTGCACAGCACACCCAGGAACTACTTCTGGCAAAAAGAGCTCACCCCACCTTGCCCTGCAATAAAAGCTGCCTCTAGTCTGGGCTGAGGTACTTTGCTTTAGCTCTGCCTAAGAGGCTCAGAGTGGTTTCACTGAATACCATGGGAACACAGGAAGACAGAAAACACTGTCCCTTATTATAGTTAAGCTAAAGCTGACACATCTGGGTGGCTTTTTTAAAAAAATCAATCTTTAACAAGAAAAATAGTTTTTTGGGGTTTTTTTTTTTTGCACCAGGAATCGAACTCAGGACCTTGTGCTTGCCAGGCAGGCACTGTGCCACTGAGCTATATTTCCAGCCCTGTTATTTGCAGTGAAGAATGAGTTTTCAGGATATTAATTGTTGTACTACTTCTTATGCCACCTAAAGGGCCCAGTCTACCACGTATAAACAGAATGTACCAGAACCCATGGGCACCATTTCCTTCAAAGGACATAAAATGCAAAGCAGAGCGTCATTGTCACATTTTGGCCGAATTACTTAAGATATGAAGACAAGTTGCAATGTTATCTTCTGTCTAAAAAGAGAATCTCAATTATAGCACCCCCACCCCCAGCATTTCACCAAGAAATTTTCTGACATACAGAAAATTAAAAGAGGAGATGAATGAAAACCCCAATAAATTCTACCTGGATTCTCAATTCATAAACATGCTGCCATATTCGCGTCATCCATTTTTGTAGCATCGTTTTCTACAGGGAGGGGTTCCAGTTCATAAAGTAGGCTGCAGACCACTAGCACGCTTCACCCTGAACACTTTCGCAAGCAATACCTGCATATTAACTTTCAAGAAAGTAATTGTATAGTAGTAGAGTAAGAGCTAAACACAATTCATTAGAAGAAAAACAGGGAGAAATAAACCAAGATTAATAAAGAAGCCAACAACCTCTGAAATCCCAATAATCCAAGACTAGCAGTGCTGTGAGCTCACTCCAATCACAAGAGGAACCGATTCATGTACTGATTACACAGTGAAGTTGGGACAGGTCGGATTTTGTACCTCCTATACTGCATGATTTCTAAATATGAACTGGAAATGCATCTCCAGTGCTTACCTAAGGGCAGCAGCATGGTACGTGTCAACGTAATCAGAAATGAAGAGTTCTCGGTTCTTGATAACTGGGTCTGTAATGACAAGTTCTCTTCCAGAGTCTGTCAAAAAAAAAAAATTTTTTTTTTAAATTAACTGAGAGGAAATTAAAACTCAGTTTCCTAAAGCAAGCAAGAAATCTTTGCAAAACTTTTTTTCTTTCCAAATATACCTCCTACTGAAGAAAGCATGATAAATAACCAGATCTAATTAGCACCATCAGTGTGCAAAACAGGGCAAAGGAGTAACAGCATGAATAAAAAGAACAATGTGTGTAATTATTGACAAGTGATTACATGTCTTGTTGGGTGTTTATTATATCCTTTACCAAATCTCCACAGTATGCTAGAATACATCAATGAGCACAGAGTTGCCGAGAGTGGTAGCACACGCCTGTGATCTTAGCACTCAGCAGTGACAGCTGAGGCAGAAGGAGTTCAAGACCAAGCTGGGTGTGGTGGCACACACCTGTAATCCCAGCACTCAGGAGCCTGGGCTACAAAGAGAGTTCATGGCCAATCTAAACTGCATAGTGAAACCCTGCCTCCAAAAAAAAAAAAAAGACAAAAAGACAAAGAGAGTTCAAAACCAGCATGAGCTACATAGTAAAAGCCTGTCAAAAAGAAAAGAAAACAGAAGAAAAGTAGTACTTTTTTTTGCTAAATATTCCAAAATGGAATGAGGCCACATTGATTCAGCTGATGAAAAGGATAAGCAAGCTACTGTTTTAACTGGATATCATGATTTAACTGCTTTAATGAAAATTTCATTTCAAAGATTTTTTTAAAAAACTATCAGCAAAGGCTATGCAAGAACATGGGGGCAAGCAGCAGGACCAGACAAGCCTGCCCCAGCCCAGCGCCACCACTGAGAGGATGTGTGGCCTCCTACCATAGCTGCAAACTCAACTCCTCACCTCCAGCCGCAGAAAAAACTTGCCTCACATGATTCATGGCTGACAGATGTGAACGATCTAGCATGAGGCCTAGCACCTCTCCAGAATCAGCCTTTAAAATATACTATCCATCTGTACAAAGGTAGCCTGCATTTTATGTACATATCTCATGTGTCAATACAGTTACCATGCAGAACTACAAGGCCAGAGGAAGAGAAAAGGATCAGTTGCCTGAAACTACTTTCCCATTGTTCTGAAGTCGGGTAGCAAGCTGAACTCCAAAACATAATTCAGAGAGCAGTGCTTGAAAATCAAAGTTCACTATCCTGGATACAAGTAATGAAATTTAATATAGATTATTGAAAAGAAAAAGAAATACAATCCTATAAGGCTTAAAATGTATGTTTTTCACTAGATGAAAAAAGGAATTCAAAGAATGAAGTGACTGTTATTTCCAAAGCACACCTGCCTCTGTTTCAAATTTGAGGTAAAGACACTACATACATTTAAGAGGTTTAAATTTAAATAAATAAAAAGCAAAATAAAACAGCGAGGCATTCTGGCCCAGCTATTCAGGAGACTAAAGCAGGAGGAACTCAACTTTCAAACAAACCTAGGCAACTTAGCAAGACCCTTTTACAAAACAAAACAAAACAAAACAAAACAAAACAAAAACAAAAAAAGAAAAGAAAAGATGGGGGCTGGGAATATGGGTTAGTGTTCCCTATCCTATGCTCAAAAACCTCAGGACTGCAGAAAGGAGGGAGAGAAGAGTGGAAGGTAGAGTTCTTTATGGGGAGAGCCGTGTGTGTGCGCGCGTGTGCTCACCGGGGTTATACTCAGTCTTCACACTGATCTACAACCAATCCTTTGTCAGACAGGGTCTCACTAAGTCATTAAACTGCCAGGCTGGGCTCTACTTGCAATCCTACTTCAGCCTCCTAAGAGTCCTAAGATTACAGCCATGAACCGTCACACCTGGGCAGTTATGTTTTGTTAAAGAAATCGCTTTTAGAGATAATTTATCATAAAGGGCATCTCCATTTAATGGACATTCTTTTTATAAAGAACTTCACCAAAGCTAAGGCTTACAAGAATGGAATTAGAAAAACATATTTACCATTTTCATTATGCCGATCCTGAACCAAATGCTGATACACAGAATCTGGAACTTCAGACTGACGGTAGTACCATTTGACGTTCATGAGTAGATGGTCCCTCTTACTCTGAAAAGGAAAATCTAACAGCATTAGGAACAGGATTTCAGTGCCCACAAGTGCATATTAATACTCATGATCAAAAGCCTTTGTACACAGGTATTCTGGCCACAGGGAAAAACACTACTACCAAGACCGCAACGATGGCAGGGTCTCATTTTTTCTAGACACCCTAGGCACAGTACCCCTCTGACTACCCACCAACATGGTTTATGTCAAAAAACAAGACATCAATCTTAAAGCTTTGTATCATGTCCTGAGTTTGATCAATTAATTCATTCAATATTACATTTTTATTTAACATTAGCTACACAAAGTTGGGCATGGTGGCACATGCCTGTAGTCTCAGCACTCGGAAGGCTGAGGCAGAATTGCCACAAGTTCAAGGCTAGCCTGGGCTACATAATGAGTTCAAGGTCTGCCTGAACTTCATAGCAAGACCCTGTCTCAAAAAAACAATAGAAAAAAATTACCTATACAGTGGTACAAAAACCCTTAATTATCTTGCTATTACAACTCATGAAGAACAAGCTAGAACAGCAAGATCTGACAGGAAGACATCTCCTCTCCAAGGTTACCCTATCACACATCCTACATTAGACCTTCCCGTCGCTTTGCTGCCACACAACTCTGCAGTTACTGCCATGCACCAAAGGAACAGAGCAGGCTATGGGTAAGGAGGGCAGATGATGAAGGTACCAGGGGACAGGGACCCCAGTCTTATTTACCTTCTGATTGCCATTTGTACATAATTACAGGTGAATAATGAACATTTCTATGTTGACCACTGTCCTATAAATGGCATGTCTGAAAGAGTTAGCTCTGCTCCCAGTTCATCCAAAAACCAAGGGATAAAACACTGCCCTTCCATTTGAAGGCCAAGGGGCCACAATATAACCTACGTCCTTTATGCACCTGGTCATGGAACAAACAGCTCAACAGGAAGTGCACTAAGGTGCACAGAGTCTGATGAAATGCTTTTCGGCCTGGGTGGGAGCTGAACAGACCTACCAGGAAAAACACGGTATCACTCTTTTTTTTCTTTTTTTGGTTGTTTGTTTGTGTGTGTGTGTGTGTGTGTTGCTTGTTTGTTTGTTTTTTGAGACAGGGTCTTGTTATGTAGTTCGTGTTAGTCATTAACTCACTATGTAGTTCAGGCTGGCCTCAAACTCACAGTGATCCTCCCGCCTCAGCCTCCCAAGTGCTGGGGTTATAGGCATGCATCACCACACCCAGCTTGCAGTGTCACTCTTCTTAGCAGCCTCTGCCTTCTCATCATAGGCCTGCAGATCAGAAACCAACCTGAGCTAACACTCAAGGAATGCCTCATGTTTATAAAGGAGATGGCTAAATCTTAGGTAAAGAGCCCTCATTAATTAAGGAAAATGTTTTCTCCTTTACCAAGAGGTCACAAAATACAGGCTGCATTAAGAGACCAGGAAGTTTAAAAAACAAAACAAAAACACTACAAAAACAAACAAACAAAAAAGCTTTGCTAAAATACTTATGCTATTAAAAGAACCAGAAAAGTAGGGGCTGGGGATTTAGCTCAGCGGCAAAAGCACCAGCCTGGCAAGCGCAAGGTCGTGAGTTCGGTTCCCGGTACCGGAGAAAAACCAAAAAAAAAAGAACCAGAAAAGCAGAGAAAGAAAACCTTGCCGTAAGTCTTGACAGAACTCAAATGTACAGAAGGGCTATTCCAAAGTAAATAGTATAAAACACCAAAACTGTTGCTCTGCAAATAACTATGGAATAGACACACCTATCAAAATAGTGCATCATCACAGCTTTGACAGTCCATATGTGCAGAGCATAGTCCCACATGATGCACAGTCTTTTATATTTACCCATTTTGTACTTTCACATTGGATAAAAAATTATTCTGCACTCTCTACTCTGCATATGAAGAGAACAAACCACTATGAGAAATACATAGAACATTGTATAGAGAATTTAGAGGAAGAAGCAATCTCAGCGGGGGACTATGGATGTGGTAATGACTGAGCAGAACAAATGAAATGACTTCAGGGGGATTCTTTCTAAGCAAAGGAGAAGACCTGAAAGAGAAAGTCTAAGACATACCCAGGTAAGGTTCACAAGGCCATCTGCGTGCAGCACCCTGGGGAAATACCAGGAGAAATAGGAATCCTGGTTCAGGCTGGCCATCATTGAGCTACAGAACAACTGGAGTCAAAATTTTAACTGCTAACCAAACACACAAGCAGTGAGGTACAAATGCCAGGTATGGGGAGAACAGCTATAGTACACAGGCAACCAGAGAACTGCTAACCCTGAAACGCCCCATGACCACGGGTATTATTTTGTCAAGAACTCAGAAATACAGAGGGAAAAGTACTTCTTCCTCTTCTCCAAAAGCTAGTTGCTTCTTTATTAGGAGGAATGACAAAAAGTAGGACTAGGATGACATTACTCATTATGGAAAGAAAAATAAAAACCAGGAGAAAGAACAGAGCCTACCTATTGGAGGGTCGGGAACAAACTCACTTAAATAACATGTACTGCCTAATGCAGGGATTCCTCCCCTGGCACTCCTGATATTTGGGCCAGGTGACTCTCATACTACTGGATGTTTAACAATACCCCTGACTTCCAGGCCCTAAATGCCAGTGGCACATTTCCTCCAGCTATGATAACCAACAATGCCTCTAAACATTACCCAATATCCCTAGTTGAAAATCAAGAGGCTAATGAAATTCAAGTTCTTTTTTTTCTTTTTAGGAAACCAAAGCTAGAAAGGTAAGAGTAAAGCCTGGGTCAAGCGCTCAAGGGTGGGGAACACAGACTACATGGAAAGAATATTAGAAAGCTCAACACACTTCAAATCCCAGTGCCACCAGGTCCCACCTACTAGACCCTGAGCACTTACTAAGATTTTCTGAGCCTGTCCTCTCCTGCAAAATGGGGACAAGGAAACTACCCTGAAACAACTACTGAAACATTTAAAGAGACAACATCTGAATGAATAGGTAGTTTCTTAGTAACTGCAACCAGTGCTTTATAGAATAATTTCGAGAACTTCACAGAGAAATACAGGAGTTATTTCTCCATCAAGACGTGATGTGAAAGGACGATGTTGAGCTCTAACCATTTTCCAGGATCACACAGGAGTTACTATAAGGGCACAGGGGGACTCAGGCCTGCCAGCAGTCCCAGCAACAGTGTTCTGAAGTCTACGTGAAGCCTTTGGGTGTTTCCGTAACACATTTAAGATGTCTAAAAAACTGAAGCACCACATAAATGCCTTTTAGGTACAGTGACTGGCATTTGCACAGTCTTTTTCTGAACCAAACTAGTGACTCAAGCAACCTCAGTTCTGAGGTCATTTCTCTGTCATCTCTGACCCCAGCATACTCACTGATGACACATGCATCACTGCTCTGGTGTGTGTATCGTAAGATTTAACGGCAGCTGACAGACTAGTGGACTTCCTAATGCAGTACTACACAATAACCAGAGAAGGGCAGCATTGTGTTAAAAAAGACTCCAGAATCTAAATTCCACAGACAAAACACAGGAAGGGTCGAGGTAAAAAGAAGTTTCAAATAAATTTAAGTATTGCAATGGGCACAGTATTTCTAGATAGGCCAGAAATTCACCTGAAGATGAAATACCTATAAAAGAAGGCAAAGTGTTGGTTTCCAAGTGAACCAGGCTAAAATTACATAATCTAGGACTGTGGTTCTGTTTGCAACCACTAATTACCTTCACTGGGTCAAGGAGCTCCCAAGACCATTTCTGTCAGTGCTTAGGTGTTTGCATTTGTTTCTTTCCCAGACAAAAGCCAGTGGATAAAACAATGCTGTGAGAGAACCCCTCACGTTCTCCCCGTGTCTGTCCAATAGCATCAGTGTCCATTACCATCCTAAAGGTTTACAAATTAAATGTCATCTTCAGAGGACACCAACTACCTAGGCATTAAGCACAGGTAGAGGGAGCACTGCCCTCCCAGCTCCAAAAGCCACCTGGACCCAGGGGTCCCTCAAACACTGCCGCAGGAAATCCTCATCTAACTCCTATTCCCCACTAGTCAAAGACTTTTGGTCAGAATCAAAGAAAACTAAAGCCAGCAGCAAACTTAAGAGATTGTCTGATTCAGCCCAAACTCCCCGGGTTTGAGTCCTGGCTTTGCAACTTACTAATAACCTGCAGGGCTTTGGGCAAATAACTTTTAAGCTTCAATTCTCTCACATATTAAATGTGGAAAAATAACGGTCCTCACAAGTTTCACTCTTTTCAGATTTAAAACTGTGGTAGGACAGTAACAGCAATATAAAAATTAGCTGTGTAAGAAATGAGGGGGAGGGGGAAGCATATCAAATGCTTCCAACAAATATGCCTCATTATTTTCTAGTGATATAATTACACAGCGGTATTTTAGTCAGTGTGTTTACAATTTACAATTTAAGGAAATTACACTGTCCTTACTCACAAGACATATCCCTCTCTACTTGGGTTCAGTAGAGACAAACAGGCAACTGCTGGGGTACAGCTGTGGGGGATTTCCATAGGGCTTTTGAAAAGTAAGAACTGAAGTTAAACTTTCTAAACTGTGAATATCCAACAAGCATAGACCAGGGAAGAAAGGTGAAGAAAACAGGAAAGGCCACCAGGAGGCTGCTGCTCAACGATGAGGGTACTCATTTTATCAGTGCCACATGACTCAACCTGTCCCCCTTATCCAAAAGAAAGAAACCAGGTCTAAGGCCGAGAAATAAATGTGCTTTCCTAGAGATCTTTGATGATTATCAGTGCAGTGTTTTTGACGATGTAAATACCCAGTCTGGGTGCTTCCCAGGACCAGTCTTAATACCCTTGGGAAAAAGTTTTACTACAACATTAAATCATGATGAGGGGGGTGTAGAAGAGGCAGAGGAACCAAGAGGAGTTGCTAAGTGAGTGACCAATAGGACAATGTGCAAGCCACACGAGGAGCAGCAGCAATTTTAAACCGGTTTCAGACCATCGCTCTCCCTGCAGCTTCCAGCAGG